CTGATGCACAATATGATTTAGACGCTATAAAAGCCGATGAGGTAGCGTTGATCTCGAGAAGACTATCAATGCTGATGAATGATCGAGCTCGCGAGGGGATTGAAGTTGGGAGACCGTGAGAAGATGCGTGTTCGTTTATGTGGCGGTGTACGGCAGCCAGCAAGCGGTGTGTGGCACGCCTGTCTGTGCCCGCATGCGGAGCGTGGCATTAGTCAGTGTGTAAAGCCCTACCAGTCAGACGGGAGATGGGTTGAGGGAGATGAATGGGAGGCAGGTTCACTTTATTACTGTCACTCTGCTCTCTCCCAGTCTGCCTCAACCTCCCCACTACCACCCATCCATTAATCACATGTTACTGCCTCCTCCCTCCCTCTTTCACTGTCTATTTCTCCTCCCTCCACCTTCCCGCTCCTCCTCCATCTGTCCCTCTATTTTCAAACTCAAACGTACTTTACCTTCTCCTCCTCACGTTCCCTTTCAATCATAGTATCGGTTTCTGCCTCCAGTTTGCCACGTCCTCGTCCTGAGATCTGCTCTTCACCGAGCCCGTGCAGTCTTAAAAATGATTCATCAGCATAAGTAAGTGACTCTTTTGGATAACAGTGGAGTTTCTTATGGGACTTATGGCTTTTGTCCTGTGTCTCTCCTCTTTACGCCCACCTCCAGCTGGTAAATGGAGTGGTTCTTATAGTGTTTTTAAACACTCAAAGCACTTTCTAACTGTGGCTTTCCCTTCCTGATCCTGGTTCTGTTAACAGTGAGTTCTCTTTCCCTCTGTCCCCCTTTGAGTTGTGTGATTTTTGAGGTTTCTTTCTAATATTGTAGGGTATCTACCTTACAAACACAGGGGGGCAGGGATAGCTCAATAGGTAGAGTAGCTGCCTCATGATTGGAAGGTTATGGGTTCAACTCTACTGAACGGCTACCCTGAGGTACCCCTGAGCAAGGTACCGTCCCTACACACTGCTCCCCGGGCGCTGCATTGGTGGTTGTCCACTGCTTCACTAGATGAATGGGTTAAATGCAGAGGAGCAATTTCCCTACGGGGACTATCACATACACATTATTATTATTATTATTACAATATGTCCTGTGGCACCTGTTGTTGTGAATTTGCGCAATATAAATAAAACATAATTTAAAGAAACTGAACAGACTATCAGCTAGTTTCAGTCTGTTCAATTAAACTGGGTTTCACTATTCAAACATTTTGAACACCTTGATTTTAACATTTCAAGCCGCCACCGTCATTTTTTTTTCTGGGGTCAGAAACGACCAATTTTGGACAATAGCTAAGCTATCAGCTAGTTTAGTTAGCAAGGTGCATCCATGGACTGCACAGGTTCATAGCACAAACAGACATACCTGCTAATCATTCCAAAGTAACCTGCTTGGTATAAATATACAAATTATACTTAAATAAAAAAATCCAATAATTTTATGAATGAATAAATGAGCTTTACTCACTAAAACTGGAACACAAAGTTCTTGGACAGGCAGCAGAATAGACCTTGTTTTAAGATTATTTAAATACTCCAAAAGCTGTGTAACTCTGATTAGCTGAGGAGAAGCCCGATGACCAGACTTCACTCAAATGTGTCCATATCCACTTTGAACTTATACTGATTACCAGAGATGGGCAGTAACGCGTTACTGTAATCCGATTACTTTTTTAAAGTAACGAGTAAAGTAAGGGATTACTATTGCAAAAACGGTAATTGGATTACCGTTACTTTCCCGTAGGAACGCTGCGTTACTGCGTTACTAAAACCGTGATTTTTTGC